CTGCTGGGAATGGTGGCACACACCTTTAATCCCAGCACTCGAGAGGCTGAGGCAGGAGGATTGTTGAGAGTTCGAGACCAGCCTGGGCTACAAACTGAGCTCAAGGCCAGCCTGAACTGCATAGCAAGACCCTGTCTCAAAAAGACAGAAAAATAAATAACTTGCCACAGCTTTCTTTAACAATGAAATTCTCTTTCCTTTTCTCCCCTGTCTCTCTCTACCTTATGCCTCATCTTTTCTACTTAGTTCATTTCTAGCCAACAGATTTTTAAATCAGTGTCATGGTTTGTGTCTGGATGTCCTCCCAAAGCCTCATGCAGTCACGGGGCAGGCTTCTAGAGTTTATGATTGATTCATGGCTATGAGTGCTACTCCCACCCTGGGGCAGATAGTTTGCATATGTAAGGGAAAAAAAGAGGCTACTTGCCACCACTCCTCCCTTTTGCTCTTGCTCCTTTTGCTGTCTTCCACTGCCATGAACGGTTGCCCTCTGCCATGTGCCACCCTGCCTTGGAGCCAGACGATTATGGACTGAAACCTCCACAGACTGTGAGCTAAATAAACCTTTCCTTCCTTAATTCTGGGTATCAGATATTTTGTCTTAGCAACAAAAAAAAAGTAACCAAGACAATCAATAACTGTGAAGGGTCTTTCACCCTACTTGAAAACAAGAAGCTCGTCATCATTTAATATACATGTACTGCCAAAAAACATCAGGCTCCTGGGTCAGAGAAAAAGACCACTTATGACTCATGGCAAAAGCACCAGTGTCTTAACACCAGGTTTCCAAGCTGTGGTCCATAGGGCAGCATTGTGAGGGAGCAGATGGTATCTGCACATATAGCTGGATGAGCTACAAGGGGAAGTGACCCAAAATAAGGAAGAGAGACAGATAAGACATTTATTTTATAGTTTTTTGTTTCTGTTGTTATTCTGAGACAGGGTCACCCTATGCAGTTCAGGCTGGCCTTAAACTCACTATGTAGCCCAGGCTGGCCTCAAACTCACAGAGATCTTTCTGCCTCAGCCTCCCAAGGGCTGGGATCACAGGTATGTGCCACTATGCCCAGCTAGACATTTACTTAGGAATGTGAGCAGATTGTTACCAGGGAGAGAGAAGTTATTCCCCCTGCAAGATGTCCTCAGGAAGCGAACTGTTCTGTCTTTATATACTACTCAGAAAGTAAATCTTGCTCTTGCTCTGACCTTCGTTTAAACACTATGTCTAGCTTTCAAAGATGTTTACCCTTTTGCAAACCCTTTAGCCCAGAAGATCTAGAACATTCAAAACCGTGAGACACTCACAGAGAAATGTCTCCTACACAGGTTCTCCAGGTGTCTTTTAGGTTCAGATGTCTGTTATCTAACCTGTACTTACTGTCTCTGTTGTCCTACTTCCTGTAACCCTTGCCCATCTCCTGTTTAGCTACTGAACATGAACATCTCACCGGGTGACACTCATCCTACATTTGTTCACTCAGTATCTTCCGCTCGAGTTTCAGCTATCACCACTGCTGGTGGCTGTTAATTTCGTTCTTACATTGCAAAACTCACTTGCCTTATTTTTGCCTGGATGTAGCAGACTTTAAAAATATCAGTCAATCCTATGACCTGACTTCACATTTTTTTTCAGTAGGGCCCTCACTCTAACAGTTTTGTTTTTTAGATTCAAAACCCAAGAATATGGTTTTGAAGGCTCATTCAAATTCAACAGTTTTTCAGCTGGAATTCTTCCCGTAATTCATGCTTTACAGTTGCTTCAGAAATCCCTCATACATAGACTCACATTACAGAGTCTGCAGCAGGTTGAAGTTTAGCTCAGCTTCTGCCATTTCTCCCACACTCCCTCAGGCCACACTGCACCACTATATCAAAGGACTTGCATTGACCTGAATTCACTGCTCATTTATTTAAACACTTTCTGAAACCCTGATATGAGCCAGGCATTATGCTAGCAACTGGGGCTATAAATCTGAATAAACTATTGTCTTTCTTAAGGGAGAAATAAATATGCAAATAAATGCCCAGAGTGTGATTAGTACTGCAAGGATACAAAGTGCATACTCTTTCCCCAAGGCACTTAACCTGACAATATACAGTATGACACTCTGGGAAGTCTTCAAGGATAATTTGGAATTTGTTACATGGTCGTGAAAGTATATCCTTGGCAAAGTACAAATATGTACAGATACGGGAAACTGAATCTCTTGTTTGAAGAGCTGTAAATATTTCAGAATAAGCAGACTGTGTGATTGAAGGTAGAGGGGTGAAGGGACACAGGATCGGAAAGGGGATTAGATAACAAAAGATCTGTTGTGTACTGAGGTGGTGTAGACCTTTTTAGACTTGTATGATCACTTTGACCTTTTAAAAAGAAGTTGCTCCATCATACTAATTCGTTCAGGCAAGAATTATTTATAGATACTAAAACTAGTAGAAGAAAGTTGAAAGACTAGAAGATAGGTAGTGTCTAAATATCACTTCATATGACATGTATTAATTACAATAAGTTAATAGTGACAAAGCCCTACAGATCTCATCCCACCCAGTTAATCAAAGTTAACATCATAGTAACAGGATAAATCAACATCATGAACCTGCTGATGTGCATTGAGAAACATCATGAATTTCTTCCAAAATGCGTAACCAAATCTAATCATAAGGAAACAACAGGCAAGCCAGGGATGGTGGTACACACCTGTTTTCCAAGCACTCAGAGACTGAGGCAAGAGGATCGCAAGTTTAAGGACAGTCTGGGCAACTTGGTAAGGCCTTGTCTCAAATCTTTTTGGTTGGGGATCTGGCTCAGCAGCATAAGCACCTGCCTGGCAAGTGCAAGGTCCCGAGTTCAATTCCCAGTACCAAAAAAAAATTTTTTTGAAGACAGGGATATACACTAGTTGAGTGCAGAGACTCTTGATTCAATCTCTTATACCCAAAAAAAAAAAAAAAGTAAGCTCCAGCTGAAAAGCATTTTATAAGATCAGTGCTTTACCCTCTCCGAAACTGAAAGGAAAGAAGTAAAAGATTAAAGGAGACTAAATACACACGAAGTTTGTTTGGTATACATGACCCTGGATATTTTTTCCAGTAAAGGGTGTCATTGAGACAACTGGTAAAATATAAATAAGATCTATAAATTACATAATAATATTTTGCCAATATTCAATTTTTGACTTTTACAGTATATTGTGGTTTTGTATTTTTTTTCTTTTTTTGAGACAAGGTCTCACTCTGCAGTTCAGGCTGGCTTTGAGCTCACTTTGTAGCCCAGGCTGGTCTCGAACTTGCAACGCTCCTCCTGCCTTAGCCTCTCGAGTGCTGGGATTACAGGCATGCGCCACCATGCCCGGCTATGCGGTGGTTATATAAAAAATTTTCCTCTTTAAAGTATATACAATGAAGTCCTTAGGGATAAAGGAGCATCACACAACTTACTGTCAAAAGATTCTTAGAAATCGTACCTAAACCAGGTATTTTGTCATGTCCTGTAATCCCAGCATCCATGAGGCTGAAGCAGAAGGATCGCTGTGAGTTCAAGATCAACCTGGGCTGTATAGTGCATTCAAGGCCAGCATGACTGCTGCATAGCAAGACCCTGTCTCAAACCCCCCACCAAAAATCACATCAAGAACATAGAGATTCATAGCAGTATTACTCACAGTGGCCAAAAAGCGTGAAGTTTTTAGCCAAGTGCCCATTGAGGGTTGAACAAGTGAGCAAAATATGGCATAGACATACAATAGAATATTATTCAGCCTTGAAAAAAAGGACTTTCTGTCACATGCTACAATATAGAGAAACACTGAAGAGTTTATGTTAGCTGAAACGAGTCAGTCATAAAGGGACAAATACTGTATGAATCTACTTATATGAGGTACCTGGAATATAGTAGTCAAATATAAAGAGACTGAAAATAAATGGTGGTTGCCATAGCAACCAGAAGACCTCCCTGACTCTGTACAGCTTCCACCTTTAACCTTTACCTCTTACTCCTTCCTGATAAATTAGTATTTCTGCCTTCCTAGATCTTGCAATAGCATCTTTTGCCCTTATATCACAGTGTATCAAAATACATGGCTTACCTATTCCTCCCATATAATCAGCTCCTTGGGAGCAGAAATAGTGATCATGTGTACGAATCTATGGTACCTTTCACAGAGAATGAGATGTTAATAGGGGTGTAAGAAATGTTTGAATGAATTACTAAATACCTACACTATCTTTGTTCATAACATTTTGTACTTTCTGCCCGAAGGACCAAAGTTCAGTGTTCTTGTAACTGGTCTTCCTACTTCCTCTCCATAGTTCCTTGTAGTACGTGTACATAATGCCAGATCAGTAAAATTCCGTACTTTGGAATGCCTGTCTGGAAACTTTCAATATCTTCCTGTCAATTAAAGAACAAAGTCTAAGCTCACCAGTAAGGACTTGAGGCCTATCACATTATGCTTACAGATTATACCATATTTCTGTCATGTTCTGTTTACCTACCTGCCTAACTCTAGCACTTAGCTTTTGTAAGGCTTTCTGAAGGAAGTTTACTAAGTAAGATCTGTGCTCGTTATGTTTGTGTTTACTTCTGAGCCCTTGTTTCATTATTCATCTCATCAGAAAGGGTAAAACTCTTAGAGAACGCTCAGCCATATTCATTTGCCCTATTTTAGGGCAAAATATAATATAACGATAGGATATATCGTTAGGATAGGTGGTCACCAGCACAATGTCTGCCTCATAATAAATGTTCAGTAAGCATTTAAACTGAATTAACTTCATTTGAATTTTAAAAGTAGAAATTTTAGTTTAAGACAAAAAAAGTGATTCACTATGCTAAGCCTTTGGGAATTTGGCTATTTTTGCTTCCCAGTGATTTGACTTAACATCTGAACTTTTTTTAGCTATTATCATTTGTAGCTGGATTTCTTTGAAACACAAAGTCAAAACAAATTGGGGACTACCGTATTACACATGCTTTCACAATTTTTTATCTCTCTTTCTAGGTTATATGTAAAGTCAGATGTGCCACTGAACTTGACAAACACAAGTAAGTTCAACAAGTACCTAAATAAATTTATACGTAAAAGAGCTAAAGGATTAACTCATTAATATTAATGCCTAGTATCTAAAAGATGTATTTTTAGCAGTAGACTGCTCATGGTGAAAGAAAGGGGTTGTTGCTGGGTGTGGTGGGCACACCTATAATCCCAGCACTTGGGGGGCTGAGGCAGGAGGATCGCTGTAAATTCAAGGCCAGCCTGGGCTACATAGTGAGTTCAAGGTCAGTCTGCAATACAAAGCAAGACCCTTTCTCAAAAAAAGAGAAGATTTTGGATGGCAAAATAAATTTCTGGACCATATGTGCTTAATTTGGGGATGTAAATGTGTTTAAACAGGTTACTTCCATACAGAATGCTGTTACTGTTACTGATAGTTGATATGGATTGCCACATTTAAATGAATCTCTTTTGGTGAGGTGCTAATTTTTCTCACGGGAACAAGATTAAGCGAGTTGTTTTTGTATATGTAGTAAATATGCACCTTTATAAGAAGGTGAAGTATTGATTAGTGATTCAAACTGTGTGTATCCTGTCATCTTCTTCCTAGTCAAGTGTGACTTCCTTAGTCAAGTTCTTCTCTAGTCAGGTTTAATATAAGCAGGCATTCATGGAATTGCATATTGTTTAAAACAATTTCCCTTACCTCTCAAAATTACTGTTAGATAATACATTTAAATTTAGATACAGCACATTAATTTTCTAGGCAAATTTTAAAAGTCTGGTAATTATCAGAATGCAAAGGTCAAAGAAAATATACTTAGTAGTTATAAAGATAAAAACTCCAGGATTGCTTGAAACAGCATTAAATAGTCCTATGTTATCTTCTTGGTAGAGACAAATAAATTCAAATCCATAAGAGGTCATTTCTTCGTTAATGCTTTAAAATCTATACCATTTTAAAATGGATTAGATACTAATTGCATAACAACACAAATATTGCAAGTAACCACGAGATTATTAAATTTGTACATAATGAAATTATAAACATTTTAAACTGAAGAAATTCTTGTACCTAAAATAATACATTAATTTCTCATTAGTTTTATAACATCTAACACACTCCTTTTCCTTTCAGAATTCTACTACATTTGGGCTTTATACTGGCAAGCCTTCTCTTCTTAGTGGTGAACTTGACTTGTGCAATGCTAGTCCACGGAGATGTTCCAGAAAATCAATTGAAATGGACTGTGTTTATTCGAGCATTAATTAATGACAGCTTGTTTATTCTTTGTGCCATCTCTTTAGTTAGTTACATATGCAAAATCACAAAAATGTCATCAGCAAATGTCTACCTCGAATCAAAGGTAAGTGTATTTCTTAATTTTGCACTTGAAAATCTAACTTTACATTCTTATCCTATGTGCCATATTTTAATGTGAAGTTTATGTTGTTTGTTTGTTTGTTTGTTTGTTTGTTTTGAGGCAGGATGTCTGACTATGCAGTTCAGGCTGGTCTCGAACTCACTATGTAGCCCAGGCTGCCCTCAAACTTCAGGGTGCTTAGCCTCCTGCCTCAGCCTCCCAAGTGCTGGGATTACAGGCGTGTGCTTGGTTTATGTTGCTTTGTAAAAAGTATCCTGAACCACTTCTACATTTCTGAGCATGACAGAATAGCCACTAGCAATTAAAGGCTTTTAAAAATTTGATATTTAGTAAACAATGGTTTAAAAAAGAAGCTTTGCTGCACATGCATTTTCCATGATGCTGCACTAGACAGGCTAGTTAAGTAAAATAAACCAGAATGTATGTGAATGGGCCAAAAATAGTTTCATATATAAAACTGCAATAACAACTTAAGATTTTATTCAGCACGAGTGGTAGTATTGCTGTTAAATTTACCAGATTATCTACATATACTTGGCTTATCAACATAAAGAAGTCATACAGATAAAGTGGTGTTTAGTTGTACAAAGGTTTTAAAAATGTTACATCAGCCTATAATATGTAGTACATGTTATGATTGAAACAGCTAGTCCTGCCTTGCTTCTGTCTTTCCTTACATTTTGGAAAAAAGTAACACGTGAATTCATGGAAGAACCATGATAGTTTCTTCTCCTGTTGAATGACAAAGTGGCTGAGCAGTGATCCGTAATTGGTCACCATAGGGGACTGTGGTTTTGGGTGAAGCAGTGCAGATAGCGGGTGTTGGCACGGGTGTTGGGGCAGATGCTGGGGTGGGTGTATGTATAAACACGTTTTTTACAGTTCCTTGCCCAGGAGAACTTTCTTAAATTCGGTATCATTGCCTAGTCACTGAAGATAAACAAGATAATATCTTAAACAGAACATTTCTCTGAAATATTGTTAGACTTCTCTACTGTCATGACCCTTAACATAGTCCTAGCAGAGTACTGTCATTAAATATATGGTTATCAACCTGTGCTTTAAATTTAGGCAGAGGTTTTAATTTCACTATAAATATATTTCAGTGAAATGCTGAATATATATCAAGAGAGATGAGAAAGAGGAAAAGAGAGTAAGTCTTTCCAGCCTACTAGTTATGCCTGGAAAATTACTTTATTCATCTTCAATTCTAAAGATTTCTTAAAATTTAAATATCTTAGTAAGAATAATACTGTCACTGTGACTGGCCATAACCTTCTGTAGGCAGCAGCACACAATAATAGCACCAATATACAGCTCATGTTACTTGCTTATCTATTTATGTGTGATGAAGCATAAATACATGTTATTAAATTTAAAATGCCTCTTTCGTAGATACCTGGTAACTTTCAACATTTGGTTTTACTTGCATTGACATAGATAGTACTCTTAATATAGTAAAGCTGCCAATCTGAGAATAAAAAAATCTGATAAATCTTCCACAATTATTTTAAACATCTTCCCCTTACTAACATATGAATGGTACTCACCTTTTATGATATTATTTTAAAAGTCTTAAGTTTAAAAGCTATTCAGAATTATCTAGGAACTCTACATAGGGACTTGTCAGAAATATCTATAAAGGCAAATGCGAGCCTGTTTGTATTATATTGTACTGTTTTGTAGCTCTTGATCTTCTAACTAGGTTATAGACTTCAATGTTCAAAGAGTGTGTCATCTTGCCTTCATGTTCTCCTTTTAAGATCACTGGGCTCGTTTTTGTTTTTGTTTTTGTTTTACTTCTTGAGCAATATATAGTAATAGTCATTTCCTTTATTCAATCAACAAATGTTCGTTGAGCATCTACCTCTTTCACTTTCAAACTGACCTGTTTTTGTTTGTTTGTTTGTTTGTTTTGCTATCCCTAAGAACATTTCCTTTAAGCATGGATTTTTTTTTTTTTTGTACCAAGAATCGAACTCAGGACCTTGTGCTTCCCAGGCAGGCGCTTGCACCACTGAGCTATATCCCCAGCCCTAAGCACAGATTTTAATGTTTTGTTTCCCTTTTTATTCTTTCTTCCATCCTTTACATATTATGTGATAATGAGACCCTCCCTACTCCGTCTCAACCAGATCTTACCCACCTTACTTCACGATGACGCAGAGTGCCTCCCTGTGCCTCCAACCAGAAATGCCCTTCCCCACTCAGTGCAGTGTTTGTTCATGTCTTACCAACTTTCAAGACCTAACTCTAATGTTTTTCCGTTTATGACCTTAATTTTATCCCTTCTCCCCATTCTCTAAGTAAAATTAGGAGTAAATCCCTAAATGGACTATCATAAAATTTTATTTGCTGCTTTCAGGGCACTTCTCAATTTATATGAGGTAGAGTTTGTATGTAAATGTCTAATTTTTTCTAACTGAAGTCTGAGCTTTTAGGAGGCAAAGCTACTTATTATTCATGTTTCCCTGGGTGCCTTATTTGAGTGTCAACTAATTTTATTTGAATTTTATGTAACTTATGAATTTTTATTTTTATCCAGTTTTTCTTACCTCAGCTGCCTTTTGGGTACTCCACCAGCTTAAGCACCATTCCCTTACCACTTACAACTTGCATCTCACGATATTTCGTCATTGTCATCATTAGTAATGGTTATCACTGACTCAGACTCAGATCTGCAGTATGCTAGAGTTTCTTCATTCCTTCTTTCCTGCAGCTAACTCCTGTCAACTTTTTCATTAAAAAACTGTCTTCTCTCAGTTTTTCTCCATTGAGTAACTTGATAGGAAAAGGAATGAGTTGAGCATAACTATCAATATCTATTATGCACCAGGAAGTTGCCTTCTTCGCATTAGCTCCCCACAGTTATATGAGGTGATCTGTGATATTGTGCTATAACGAGACATGTATATTTCGTCCCTGCCCCTGGTTCCTGGCACACGGTTCCTTAAAAGCCATAGATTCTTTGCAGGAATTAGAGTATCTTTTGCAAGATGGCAGGTAGCTAGGAGGCCCTAGATAGCTTCCCGTTGGGCACTGGTCAGAAGAAGGACCTCAGCTGCCAGGCAGGATGGTGCTTACCTGTAATCCCAGCACTCAGGAGCCTGAGGCAGGAGCATCGCTGTGAGCTGGAGGCCAGCTTGGGCTACACAGTGAGTCCAGGCCAGCCTGAACTACATAGCAAGACACTGTCTCAGAAAACAAAAAGCCATGATTAGTGGGTTGAACACTTAGCCCCAGCCCACTATCACCTTGTAAGGGGAGCAGGTTTGTTTTGTTCCACAGCTGTAGAGGTTCCAGCCCAGGCCTGTCTTGCCCTGTTGTTTTGGGCCAGTTTTAAGGCAGCACTTCATGGCTGGAGCATGTGGGAAAGCAAAACACTCAGATCATAGCCAAGGGAGCAAAGAATTAAATGAAAAGACAAAAATAATGGGCAAGAGTCCCCTAATCTCCTTCTGGAACATATTTCCAATGTCCTAAGGTCCTCTTACAAGGCCTCACCTTCCAAGGTTTCACCACTTCCCCTTGAAGCCGTCCTGGAGATCCAGCCAGGATACGTGGGCCTGTGGGGGATTTAAACTGTGTGTCGCACATGCACATGTAGTAAAACCTCAGTGAGAAGTCCAGTGGCCAGGTCTGGGGAGTGCCAGGACTTCCAGACAGGGCGCTGGAGGCTCTGCAGGGAGGCACAGAGAGCGGGGCTCCACAGCCCCGGCACAGTTCCCCACTGAGGGGTGTATCAGAGTCCTTGGCGAAGAGCCCTCAAGAGTAACTGGCAAATGCATTTCCCTGAGTTCTGCAAGCTGCTCTGGTAAGTTAATCTAACCACAGGAGAGGGTCACTGGAACCCCAGATGTACAACACATTGGTCAGAACTCTGTGTGATAACCTGCGATTGGCACCTCAGTGCCAAGAGGGAGGCAGTCTTGTGGGATCTGATGCTCTCTCCAAGCAGATAATGTCAGAACTACAGTAAATTTTAAACTGTAGGACCTTCACTTAGTGTCCTCTGGAGAACTGCATGTCACTGGGGCGCTATCCCAGCACATTTTGGTGTAGGGAAGGATTGCTTTTCACTTCAGATGGTCTTAATCTTATTAAAAGTGAGAGAAATGGGGGGGACTTTTCTTAATCATTCAAATAAGATTCTCTCCTACTCTAATTACTATTTTATCACCCTTTTGTTATTTTCATAGCCAAAATTACTATCCATTTGTCTGTACACATTTTTTTTCTCCTAAAGTATAAACACTTGTCTGTCTCATTTATTTTTCAACCCTTTTGTTTAAAACATACAGTAGATGTTCTTTTTTCTTTTTCTTTTTCTTTTTCTGGTACTGGGAATTGAACCCAGACACTCCATACTCAGTTATATTCCCAGGCCTTTTTTATTTGTTTGTTTATTGAGACAGGGTGTATCTAAGTTGGCCAGGCTGGCCTTGAATTTGTGAGCGTCCTGCCTCAGCTTCCTGAGTAGCTGGGATCACAGGCATGTACCATACCATGCCCAGCTTTAACGAATAGGATTTTTTCAGTAAATATGTTCCATGCTTGCATACAGTCTATGACAGAGGAGCTTTAATCTAGTAACTAGGGAAATTCAAACTTTCCCTCTGAAACTTTGATAACCAGAGCTTCTGAAAAAACTGAAAGAAAGAAGACAGACTCTTACCACTAGCTCAACCAGATCCCAAAAGCACAGCGAGCCAGGAGACTGACCGGTAAGAAATTTCTTAACTACTTACCTGCTTGCCCGCTCTTAAGCTGTCCCCACTGCAGCTTTTGAAGGAGCAAAGCAGTTTTAGAATCTTACCTCTGCCAAAACTGGAAGGGCGAAGGGAATTTCTCTCTCCCCATCTGAAAGTTTGAGTCTTGAAGTTTGCTAAGATAAACTGGCAATAGATAGATCAATAGGAGAAAAAGCACACAGCTTGGTTAATGTACATATGTGCACAGGAGCCATATAAAATATAAAACTC